TACAAACACTACTTGAACGCTGCGAAAAGGGAAAATTATACTTGAAGGAGTGAAGTTCGAAACTTGTGTTGAGTGTTGACAAGTCAAAAAGACATCAAAAAGTTGTTCTACACGATGTTGTATACTCCAGTTATGTCGTTTTTGCGGCAGGAAAGCTCAGAAGTTGTTCAGAATTGACATTCCAGTATATTTCGTATCGTATATAATGTTCAGGTAAGAGCATAATTCACTTTTTTCAACGAGAAAAAAACTAGCAAAAAACAAGTCTCGACCAAAATGTCTCAGTCTTTGAGAGTTCGATACGTGTGTTGATCTGATTTAAATTGTGTATTTTGATTGTCAGGATATTAACCCATTAAGTACAAACTGAACTTGCCAAGCAGAGAGTCCTGCCACTGAAATATATACCCGGCAAATAGTTTTGTTCGCTTCATAGGATATCACAATCTGTGGGCCGACCGCTCTTTCAACTTTCAAAATCAAATAAAAGTTTTTCAAAAGCTCAATCGTACTTCTTATGTGAATAGAAAAGATCACTTACTGTTATTGTTGAAAAATTTTGTCCAGATATGAAGCTCGAAAGCGTCTTTTCCTTAAAAATGCCACTTTTTGAATTTCGAACTGCGTTTTCCCTATAGTTTTGACTGAAAACGCAGCGACGGTACTGGCTGCGGCATATTAAATTTTTTTTAAAATATTTAATTTGCTTTTGATGGCGTGTAAATGGCGTCAGCTTCGCAAATCTGTATGACGTCCTAAACACTGCATTTTTCACCGAGTGAACCCTCTTTATATCTTTACTCTTTGTCTTGGATGCGCGCGCGTTAATTGGAATCACTTCACTACGTTTGAAATGACGTGGTTGATGTGCCGTTTAATTAAATTTCAAATGACGCGAGCCAACAGATCACGACACTCTTGTATATAAAAAAAGCGTGTGAATTAAACAAGTCACATATTATTAGCACTGATGAAGATCCGGGCTTACGGATCGAAAGCTTTGCAGTAATAAATTTACGTGGTGTTTCCACAAACAAAAACAATTAAAATAGTATTAATAATAATAATAATAATAATAATATAATAATATAATGAATTTGTCACTTTATACACGATACAAACTAATTAATTAAAGACAAATAAAGACAGATACAAATCGTGACAGGGGAAAGGAACAGGACTCTCGTCCCAATTGACACCTAACCCCTAAAAAGACGTTAAATATAAATAAAGATAAAGAACAGGTTATAACACATTAGTTATAACAACTTATACTAGCTAAGGTTTGAATCGTGACTATAAAAGTACTGAACGTTTACACACTGCGACTTGCCCACTATGCAGATTACTATTATGAATTATTCAAAATCAATTTGGAAATCACGAGTCAATTTATAACATATTTGTAAATATGATGAAAATGGCCGGATGATGGTTCAACAAATCGCAATGTGTAGACGCTGATCACGCAATGCCCGGAGGTACGTAATGCGATAACTTAGTAGAATACAACTTATGAAGATGAGACTTGAAAATACTTAAAGAATTGGAGGATTTGACAAGAGACGGTAGAGTGTTCCATAGTTCAACCGTTCTAATGAAAAAAGAATTTCTAAAATAGTCCTGCTTGTGTTTAATTATAAGATTATAGTTGTTTTTATCATAATTTCTTGATTGGTATCCAGGTTCAAAAGTACATATATATTTGTTCACATCAGTAGTAATTGCTCCAGTTCTAGATTTAAAAAGTAGGCATAAGTCTGAGATATCTCTTCTGAACTCAAGAGGGAGAATCTTGATCTTCGCGAGTCTGTCGGCATACGTTAGGTCCTGTGGATAGTCAAGAATAAACTTTGTTGCCCTCCGCTGGACATTTTCGACTAGTCTCTTATGCTTGATGGTATAAGGTGACCATAAGCTGCTGGCATATTCTAGAATGGGCCTCACGAGAGCGCAGAATAGTAATTTTCTCACTCTTTGGTCGTGGGTATCCTTGCAAGTTCGTTTGACAAGTCCGAGTGTTCTGTTGGCTTTGGCCACCGTTTCTTCTATGTGTCTTGACCAGGACATGTCACTGCATACAGTCACACCAAGATCTTTGACGTATGGAACACATTCCAGAGGTTGACCGTCCAAATAGTACTGAGATACAATCTTCGTCTTCTTTCTCGAGACCCGTAGTGCTTGACATTTAGATTTGTTAAACTTCATCGCCCAGTCGAGACTCCATTTATGAAGGTTATTCAGGTCGTTTTGGAGGCGAAGGGTTGAGTCAGGAAGGTTGATGGGTTTATAAAGTTTGGAGTCATCGGCAAACAGGGCAATGGTTGATTGGGAATTGATGTAGCTGGGGAGATCGTTGACGTAGACGAGGAACAAGAGAGGACCAAGTATGGAACCTTGGGGGACACCGGATGTTATTGGAAGCCAGTCAGAATAAACACCATCAAGAACAACTCTTTGATATCTGTCCGTGAGATAGCTGCTAAACCACGAGAGAAGAGATCCTGAGATGCCATAACTGTTCAGTTTTAAAAGTAGTAAACTATGTGGGACCTTGTCGAAGGCTTTAGATAGATCTAAGTAAATGATATCTACTTCCCTTCCCGATGCAACGGTTTCTATGATGTTGTGATAAACCTCCAAAAGTTGCGTTACCGTTGATCGTCCGCGCAAGAACCCGTGTTGAAGGTGGTATAACAGGGGTGAGAGGTGGTAGTAGCAGTGGTTAAAAACACAACGTTCCAATACTTTGGATAGTACACATAGAAGAGAGATAGGACGGTAATTGGATTCTATCGATGGATCCTCTTTCTTGAAGACAGGGGATATGTTGGCGAATTTCCACTCTGACGGCACTACACCCAGGGAAAGGGAAAGGTTGAACAATCTGCACAAAGAGGGAGCGATCTCGTGCGCGACTTCTTTCAACAATCTACAAGGAATACCGTCTGGTCCACTAGCCTTGTTTGGATCTAAGTTACTCAATACTGCAGCAACTTCCTCTTCAATCAGTTCGATCTCCGATAGCTGATTATCAAGGGTTTTGGAAGGAGTTGGAAAGGAAGCAGGAGGTTCAATGTTACTGGGGTTAAAAACTGAGTGGAAAAAAGTGTTCAAGAGGTTGGCTTTCTCACGACTATCTGTGATATATGATTGTCCATTTCTCAGAAAATTCGGACTTTGGCTTGATCTTGTTGAAGATTTCACGTATGACCAGAAACGTTTAGGGTTTCCGAAAACACTATTTTTCATCTTGTTTGCATGTTCGATCTTCTTTTTAGCGATAAGAATCTTGGATTCACGACGCAACTGTTTGAATTTTGCGATGGCTTCTGGACTCTTCGACTTACGCGATTTCTTTCGCTGAATGTTTTTCTTTTTGAGCAGAGCCAAAAGTTCTTTGTCAATCCAAGGGGGGTCATACACGCAGCGGGATGTACGTTTGGGAATGTGATCATTCACGGCAGAGATGAAGGACTCACACCAACTGGAGAGTAATGTGTTAATATCATCAGAAACAAAACCAAGTTCCCATGGTATATTTGCTAATACTTGTTTTAAACCCGACCAATTCGCGTTTTTGAAATTATACACTGAACGCTTGACTTTCGGTTTTTTACAAATCTTGAAATCGACATCGAAGCTTATGAGTGTGTGATCTGTACTAATAATGTCCTCGAATCCATGCACGTTTATAACTTTTTCTGGAATATTGGTAAGAAGCAGGTCCAGAGTGTTGTTAATTCGGGTTGGAAAGTCAACTAGCTGCCATAAGTAATTATCTTTGACAGTTTTAGTGAAGAAATTGTGAATTGAGTCATTGTTCGTAGCTACTCCGGTAGACCAATCGATATGTGGAAGGTTGAAGTCACCACACACAATTAAAGAATCAAACTTTGCTTTAGAGGCAAGTGTTAAGGCTTTCTTAAGTTGCTTGATGTAGTCCAGATTTGTGTTGGGCGGTCTGTAGAATACAAGAACCAACAGTTTTTTCTGGATTTCGGGCGAATTTCACAGGCGAGCATTTCTGTGCTGTCGCTTTCGAGATCTTTTCTACGTAAGTTAAATATATTGTTCCGGACTGCTAACAGAACCCCACCTCCAATTCTATCAGCTCGATCCTTTCGATGGATTGTAAAATTTTGACCGGGTAGGAGTTCACAATTCCCTATTTCAGCATTAAGCCACGTCTCAGTTATTGCAACAATATCAAAGTCAGTTACTAGTGCTTGAAATTCAATTGTTTTGTTTACTAAACTTCGGGCGTTGAAATAAAGACATCGCATGTTGTGATCTAACTGTTGTGGTGGAACGTGTTCAGGTGTATCTTCTGGACCCGGATTCATCTCTACGTCGTTTGCCAAGAGGATTAACAAAAGCGGCAAAACCGACCTTTGTAGTAATTTCAGGCCATTTGAGAATCGAAGAACTGATAGGGAGTTTATGTGTTTCCTCACGCGACGAGCTTGAACAAAACACGGTGGTGAAAGAGCTTTCGTTGATGCATAAAACAAGTTTATTTTGCTTTCTTCAGTGACTTGAAAACCACGTAAAATTAACCACAAAAAGAATAGAAAGTAGCTCAATTTGGCTGCAATCATGTTCAATAATCAGGAAAAATCTGTTCTAATCAATTCTAGTTTGCGTACGCGATCCAACTTTCTTCAATTAAACTTGCGAGATTGCGTGTTCGTTTGCACTCGCCAGTATCAACCGTCCCTTGTTTGCGCGTGCAGGAAAAGACAACGGAAACTTCAATTCAACGTTAAATCCAACAAATTATTCAGCCAATAATAACGATAATTTCAAAAAAACCTTATATCTTTAATCCAGGAGACTTTAGCCAATGTTTTGTAAGTTTTTTACTCAGAACTTCAATCACAAAGTGTAAAATCCTTAGGATTTTACGGAGCTCTGCGGCGCACGCCCGCCGAGCACGAGCACGATCACGATCAAATAATAGAAATTTATTTTGTTTAAAAATAGAAAAAATCTACAAACATGATTGCAAGAGATATAAATAAAATACTATTTTTAGAAAACATTTCCTGAAAGGTGAAAGAGGCTTTCCATTATCTAATTAGGACAAGATCCTGGACGATCCACAAGTTTCTGGCCTTGACAACAGATCTTCTTACTATGATTGATGTATCGTTTTCCGCAGCACTTATGGTTGATAGTTTTCCTTTTGTGAACTTGACCACAGCAGCAAATTTGACTGGTTGGTTCATAAACCCTTTCACCACAAAACTCCCCTAAAGTGAAGGCAAAGACAGTGATGAGACATCAATGGCAATAAAACCGGTGTATGATATACCCTATACACGGAGGGGTAATTTGGCTAAACCACGGTTGCTATGCATGTAGCCCCATTCGGCGGGCATGATGGCGTTTCCTTAGCGCATTTACTAGGAGCATGGCAGACAATTACGCTAACATCAATGCCACTGGCAGAGTTACACGATGCAGACCATCGACTTTGCCAAAAACCCGTGATCGCCATCCCGCCAACTCTTAAGCGCAAACAGTTCGTTATGTTTTCAATCAGTGCACGTGCTCTAGCCACCCTACCTGGCTTCATCACCCACCCACCCATGGGTCGATGTTTTCAATGGGGCTAAAAATGTGGGGAGTGTTTGGCGAAATATAGCACAGCGGTTACACCAACATCAAAGTCAGACATTAGTATTTCTGTGTCAAAGGAATCGCGGTGAGAGAATGACATTCAATTCGCTGTACACTTCACATACCTGTCACAGTGATTTTCACATGGCATTCTAACTGTTGCTTCCCAGTTTTAGGGGTGTACTTGTACGTAAGCGTGTGCTCACCAACAGAAAACCATCGACTGGTACTTCGCATATTTTCACTGGAATTGGTCAGGCAACTGGGTTTAGGTTCCAACCAACTAACAAAGGCTTTCGTTTCACCTGGTTTAACTTGAGCGCTCTTTTTTTCGGTATTGCTGGGACAATTGCAAGCTAAATAAAAATAAAAATTTAAAGTTGACACACAGAACTATCGAGCCTTGTTGCATTCATTAATCAATTTGTAATAATGCACAGATAGTGGATTTGCTATACCAAAAGACGGCCACATTGGCTTGACCTATATGAAAGGTGACTTTTGTGTCATCGGCGTGTTAAGAAAAACCTTTTAATCTTACTGGTTATTTGTGAGAAAGGATATATAATGTCCCAGTTATATATATTTTGATTTATTCAATTTATTCTGATTTTGGTTCTTACTATATCGCTATCCCCACCATTAAGGGCCGGACCATTAACTAATCAGATGCGTTTGATATTTCCAAATAACCAATGAAATGCGTACTAAACCAGCTGACAAGGTAGTGCTAGCGGTTGTGGAATCAAGTCCGAACCTCTATAATTATTATATATAATCTTGCACTTCGAATATGTTATATCCCAGATTATACCACAATTCTTCGTGATTGATTATCCATTACTAGTTTTGAAAGAAATTGTCAGCTTATGCATCAGTGTAAACTAACTTGCTAATTAATGCAACATTAGAAATCAGACTAAAAAATTTACGTACGGGGACAAACTTTACACACGATCTCGCTCACAACAGTTACAAGGTTGGCAAAATCGATCATTTTCACATCTTTAGGGCTAGATGCAATATCTTGCAGCTCTTGCCATATTTCTCGATTCTTTACATCGTTTTGCAGATCATGTACTGCGCCAATGGCAATGATGCGAACTCCCATGTTTTTCAGCTTCTGGGCGTTTTTTCTTGTTTTGTCAGGGTAATTGGATTTACCATCTGTCAACACGATCAGCAGATCTGGTACATCGGGACGGTCACCCCCTTTTTTCGTGAAAACCTAGTATTTAAGGTTAACGTTACTGTACATCACATGATAGACGTGTATTTTAACCAAATTAGGAAAGGGAAATCTAAAATCTAAGATCGTTATAGGTTGAAAACAGTGTAGTTGTGGCGTAATTACAGGAAAGGTCTATTGCAGACAAAACAATGTGCCGCCAATAAGTGCACATCGAATGGATTACTCAAAAATGCAATCTCCATTGAATACACCGTTATACAGTAGATCCTCACCTTTTGAGCGACAATATCCAATGCGAGGTGTGTTAAGGTCTTCCGGCCAGCGTGCCAAGGCATGTTTTCAAATTTTTTGCTGATTGTTGTAGCATCGTAATTATTATCAAGATTGAACCTTATACCAGTATTCTTCCTATCACTAAATTGCATGAAACCAATGTGTGTCATATCGCGGCTGATGTTCAAGGATGATACCAATTGGCTTAAAAATTCTCGAACTTTTTGTATAGGCTCATATGTCCAATGCTGGATGAGTCATCAACGACAAGGAATAAGTCCAACTTTCCACCACATGGACATGTTACTAAAGAATAAAAATATTCTCACAATTAGACTAGACGAGCAAAATAAATTTCGAAAAAGATATCAGTTTTAAAACATTTTTCGTATCTTAATTTTTACTTAACAAATATAATAAATTTTCCGTGTTGCTATATATTAAATGAACAAGTGGGTAAAGTGGTAAACTCCAAATTGCGTGGAAACGCGACGCGCGGAGGGTATGCAAGTGTTTTCACACAATTTCTAGTTTTCCCAATTTCCACTTGTGTTCATATAACTGTATATAAATACGGATTATGATATAGCACAAAGAAATATAAAGAAAGAAATTTTCTGTGTGGACCGCATTGAATTATGTCAATACGTACGGCTCTTAGCCAATCAGCATTCAGAATTTACAAATGCTATCCGCGCAAGTTAATTCGTTTGCCAAATATGATGAGTATACAGAGAAGGTTTAAGAAAAAACGTAATCTTGTATATCAAATCACTCAGTTTATAAATATTCTTATTACACTATAATATTTTTGCCATAAGTTCTTTAGGTGCAATGTTACATAATGGTTTCCGTCTTTTTCAACAATACCTCTCGTACGTCATGCCTGTCTTATGTTAAACAACAAACTAATTAACTTATCTTTTTTTTGAAATTCAAAATATTTACAAAATAATTACCAAGTTTCTACGTCCGCTCTATTAATTGTTTAAATTAACTCCATATTATTTTCTCTAAATTAATTAAAGAT